GATGCAAACCCACCTAAAAAGTCATACTTCACTTACGCTTAAGAATTTTGATCAACCAGAATTTATAGCCTGGTTGAAGAACTGCGCAATGAATCCGTAGACGACCGAAATAAAATCTCATTCAAAAATAAAATGGATATATTTGCACGATAAAATGGATGACCGAAACAAAATCCCGTGGAAATTGGGATTTCGCTGGATATACTTACAACGGATAATCCCCTGCTAACAAGATAATTCCGAATAATTCTGCTAATGCAACCGAATAAACCCCTTCGCCCATCGCCCAACTGATGCTGTTGAAAAGGAGGAAGAAAGAAGCATAATCAAGCGTGGACAACGATTTACGCATTCATTTTTTGTAAAAAAAAGGGGAAAAAAAAACTGACCACAAGAAACGAGATACCAAAAACAACAGCTGCCGACATACATACTTTTATCGTTATTTTATGAGATTTCGTTCTGTCAACATAAATACCTGAAATTGCATAATAAAGAATGTAGACATCTTATCGCTATCAGCAATACTTATCATTAATATCACAGAAGGTGAAACAGAGTAATCTCTTGTAGTGTTAAGAAGAACAGAAGTCGTTTTGCACAAAAGCAATGAAAAAATTACATTGTGGAAAGCTGAATTTTATCAGAAAATTCATAAAAATTTAACTAGAGAGGTGAAAAGCTAGGGCAAAAAAGTAGAGTTAACACTACCAGTAGAGTAGAATCAAAGTAGAGTTAAAACCCCTCTCCTGCTGTCCCTCCCAAAAAACAGAGATCCTCACAATCGGTGTGAGGGTCCCCTACCAGTAAAGTTACTTCGATTCTTCCAAAAATCAGGAGCAGGAATGAGAAGCTGATTCTGAAATACATGCCTCCAATTAGCACTTATCGCCTGTCAAATGCACAAGTGGAAAATAAAAAAAAATCGAAATTCTACTCGAACTCTATTATTTACATCGTACCTAGTCTTAAGACGAAAACTCAATATTAATAAGAAAAAAATCGACGCCTCTACAACCAGCGATTCCTTTCAGTAACAAATTGGTATTGGCGCATGCTAAGGGGTCAAAACTGCCATCACCTTGCTTTTAAGCAACCTTCGAAAGAACAATTCATTGACAGCAATGTTCATTACTCATGCATGACTAAAAGATTTCAAATTCAGCTCCTTAGAATGGCCCGAACTCAAGTACGGACACATGGAAATTTTGGTGGGAAAACTACTAACTCTGAAACAATAAAAGCTAGAAAGCTGAAACTTTGGGGTAATGTTCAATACTCATGTACGACCAAGAGATTTTAAATTCGGCTCCTTCGAACCACCTGGGACTGATGGTACAGGAACGTGGAAGTAACACTAGTATTAGCACTCCTGCTAAAAAGAATGCTACCACTAGCGCCAATTCCACGTTCCTGCATTTTTCGTAGAATTCTTTATACGTAGAATTTTAAGACTTTCCATTGAATTTCGGTCTAGCAGTCCCCCGAAGCAAAAAACTATAAAAGGAATATGAAAATATACTTGATGCTGCAGATCCGCAGATTCCACCGGTGATCATTAAAGCAGCACAAGCACCAGCAACTCCATTCGAGTAGCCTCTGGTGCAGAGCAATTGCTGCATAACAGTGTACAAACAGTTGAACATACCAATTCCGCCACCCATCACAAGCAACAGCATCAGGTACGGCACTTCCGTAAAACACTGCACCATCCCTAAAAATTTGCTTTCAACTTTTAAGACTAATCAACGCAAACACACACACATATATGCACATATGTGTGCACAGACACATACACACACGCACATACGCATACACACATACAGATGTACATACACACATCCACACAAATACATACATACACAAATATACGCGTACACACATAGATATACACATATGCCCACAAATATACATGCACGCACATACATATATACACACAAATACATATATGCATACATACATACATTACAAAAGTAACCACAAACATACACACACACACACACATACGGACGCCCGCGCACACACACACACACACACACACATAAATACACACAAATACACATACACACAGAATGAAATTAGGATGAGTACTTGCGTAGTTAGAAATGTTGATTTCAACGAAGTTGAAAAAATCCTCAATGAACCTGGAATGAATGGTGTCTGTGGTTGAGCGGCACTACGTGATGGTGGAGTTGGTGGTTCGGAACGAGTGACGAAAAATGTTGCCGCAATGCAGGCAACTACGGCTGGCACAGCAGTCAGAATGTTCATTCGTAACACCTGAAAGAAATTTTTGAAAAAAAAAGCATTTTTTTTTTTATTTTTTTGACAAAATAATTTACAAATAATAAGTGGAAAAGTACATTTTCTTCCAGTTTCAACTATGACCCAAATCGAACCATCGGCGAAGAAATCCAAGACAGCACGTGTGATCACTAAGGCTACTTCCGAAAGGTCGTACCTCTCATAAATAGTGACGTAGAAGGAGGGGATATGGGTTTTCGCCCACCCCTCTCCCCTCTCCCCGTCCCTCACGGCATAAGCATCAGTGCTACAAAAGTCCGGGGTCTAAAGCTAAAAGTGAAGAAAACTCTCTTCCGCACCCCTCCACCTCCCCTCCCCTGTGCAGTCTATCCTGGATCCGCCTATACTATAACAGTGAACATTTAGGAAGCTAACAGTAATAATTATCCAGATTGGTTTCCTATGGTTTATTATATGTTATAAAAATCACTGCGTGAATTCTACACGTTGTCGCCATCGCGTAATATATCAAGTAATGATTAATAGTTTTTGTTAAAAATAAAGACCAACTGCGTTACTATGACGCAGTACCCCGCCCCTGGTTCAAACTTTGATCACCCTACCCTCATCAAACTTTCGATCTTTGTCCCCTAGGGTATAAAAGCACTCCTCCCCATCGCCGGGATCTTCATTTTGTTTTTACCTATCCACCAGTTCTATTTTACCTGCGACCTATTTCTTCTATTCAACAAATACTCTTATTCTGGGGGGCTTCGGCTCCCCAGAGCCTTACCTAGTTTATTTGTATTCTTGTTTAAAATGTATTCTCGCTTTATAAATATGTATATGGGACGCGACGTTTTACACACACATACAAACGGGGCACACCCTAGTCTAATAGGCTAACAATTGGGGTCGCGACATCGCCCAGCATAGCTGTGTATCCGTGCATCCGAATTCTACTGCTCCT